GAGTTGAGACCTTGCCAAATTAAAGTCCCTTTGATACATATGGTACGGAAGGAATGGCATTACTGCAGCGGTGCAAAATGTATATATGTAAAGCTACAGTCATACTACTAAAATAACTACGAAAAGCCAGGAAAAAAAAAATCTGGTTTAAATAAAGGAAAGGAACATTTCAAACCAAATTTTCAGAGCTCCAGATAGAGTGAAAATATGTGGGCTGAAACTGTCGGTGGATGGTAGCAAGTTCATTAGGACTGCAACCGCAGGCATGTGCTCAGCACAGTTCTAGAAAATGGTGGCAGCGGTACCAAAAGGACATATTTTAAAGGTGAGTCCATGTCTGAGTTAGCTCAAAGAAAATGTCTTCCATGCTTTCCTCTCAGGCAAGTTCATAGTGTGGAAAACAGCATACCGCTGAAATATAGTGGATGGTGTTTGTCAAGATTTTGAATGGTGCACAGCAGGGAGGGAGCTGAAAGTCACAGTGATTTGAAAGACCCAGTTTCTGGCTCTCTCTGAGTAAATAATCGGGTGAGAGCAAGGAGAGCCGTTGCCCCATGCCAAGGCAAGATCATGCTAACTGCCAGCACCTCCTGATTCCTGTGGACTTTCTGTGAGCAGATTCAACCTGTAATTTGGAAAAGGAAAATACAGTCTGGCACCCATTTTCAAAGGGTTGCCAGTCTCACACCTATCCTATAGCATGCCAGAATGGGAAAGGTAAGTATCTTACAGTATCCGCAGTATCAGTATTCACAGCAGCAGACACTGGAATTTTGTCTTTTCAATGCAGAAAAAAAATCCAAAGAATGTAATTATTTATTTTCCAGCTTTATAATTGTAATGATGATCTTTGGATTGGGAACTTTCAGCATTTAATGACTGTCTGGCACTTTCTTTGGCCCTTCCTTTCTCCAGCCAGCCAATAACAGCAAGGAAAGCACCTCCTCCAGTGATCACTCGCTTAAACATTACTTTGTCATGCTACAGAATATACCAGCTACCTCTGGGAAATAAATGTCTCTTGTGTGAACAGAGCCATAAAGTGTTTTTGAGGTTTCATTTCTTTGAAAGAATATTCTGTTAGGACATGCGAGTTTAATGCAAAAGAAGATTGAGTAGCATCCTTAGCCTCAAGAAAGGTTAGACCACTCTCAGGAATTGGGACTAAATAGCCTTGCAGTGCTTCTCCTTCTCTTCTGGGGATGGTTTAAGGACATAGATTTCAAAAGATTAAATCTTAAGAATTTATCTATGTAATCTTGGTACTTTCCTCTTGGTATTGGAGCACTTTGGACATTATATCCAGACAGAAGCATTATCCTTGTCTGTCTTCTAGGATTGTATAACAACTGGACCTTATTTTTTCCATTTGAATTTTGTGTAGTCATTATGATGCTGAAAGAAGAATGTTGTCTTGAGAGTTAAACATTATTGAAAAAGCTAAAGAGGGATCAACCTTTGGGAATGTCTGCCTTGCTCAGCCTACCAGAAGAGTCTCCTCTTCCAGCCACCCTCTCCCCTTCAAAATACCAAGATGTTGTATATGGCTTTGTTCATAGGGAGATTTGTTTATTTACGCATGGAAATGACTTTGTCTTGCACTTTATTATGAGAGAAGATTAGATACTGTGGAAGAGATCAATTTGAAGTATTTTCTGACCACCTGATAGAGCATATTCTTGATCAAAATTTAACCAGATTATGAGTAGATTGAAACATATACATGCATAAGCTTTTGAATAGTCTTCAGTTCTTGACTGTTGTTAAGAGTCTTTAAGTTTATGACTTTAAATGCTATTGTTAAAATGCAGTGAATTATCTAAATAATTGTGAATGCATCTCTCAGGGTACATTTGAACTTTAAAGCAATTATTTAAGAAACATATTGCTTGGAAAAGAAATTCAGAAGAAAACAATAAAATTTTCTAAACCACATATCTAAATAAGGATTCCTATAGCAGTCCAACATATAATTATTACTGAGTAGTCAGGTAGTGGTGAAGCCCCTTCACCTGGATGGTAAAAGAAGATTGGAATTTCTTCACCAGTGCATTTAAAGTCAATATGGAGTCCCTTGAGGTTTTGGTATAAAGGGTGGAAGTAATGTGACTGATGAGCCTAATTTTAATGTTTTGCTGTGGAAGAGATTTAGCACCTGCATAACTATTATTGGTACCATTAGCTTTTCATATTGTATTTTTATGTGAAAACACATCAAAACAGCAGGCATCAGCTTTTTTTTTAATGCTCTTTTTTTACTTTTCAAGAAAAACAGCAGCAGAAAAATATAGGTTGTGTTCCAGGAAACAGCCGCTCGCAAGTCCCAGAAGGGCTGGGGATGTGCTTTGTGGTTTTCCTGACTCTTGGAGTGACACTTTTACTTTTTAAAGCTGAGGCTTCATTTGTATTTTGAAAATATGACAATCTCCTTCTCAGCAGGGTTGCATTGTTTCTAAAAGGCTGAAATTGCTACAGGATTTAAATCTGGTGAGGATCCGGTTATTCCCTTAACAATGCATTTTAGAACACCCACCCGTAAAATAGCTTGACATCTGTAAACTTGAGGCCATGTTCTCCGGCTAGATAGCACTCAACCAACTGGCTGGAAATGGGGAAGGCGTGAAGGAGAAAGGAGTGCCGCTGTTGTGTATTATGTGCTTAAACCGATCTCTTCCTCTGCTTCACAGCTAACTGATGCAGATTATTTATAGATTTCAGAGCCAAAAATTAACACAGTTCCTTGCAGGCAGAAGAGAAATGTATGGGATCATTATTAATTCTCTAGCATTATAGTGCCTTCTGGCTCAATGTGCGTGCTGGGGACCAAGTGTAAACACACATTTATCATCGTGACCCTTAATCTGTTCCCAAAAATGTCCTTCAGTGGGGAACTGTAAAACAGCTTTTCTAAAGGATTTGAGACCTTTTTCTTTGCCACTGACGCAAAGATCTTTACAGACTTTGCTGTAATAGAACCTTCAAATGTAAAATGTTGTGAACGCTAGTTTAGAATGTTCCATTTTGTGAAAAAGAAAACAAAAAAGCACGCTGGGATGCTAGCTGTCTTTACACAAATGCCTTTTGTTTTCTTTCATTGGGGCAAATTACCCAGGCTGATGAGAAATTTCCTTCTTCAAGGTCTACCCTAATTTCTGCACCCTTAGCTTCTCTTAGTTCCTCCTACTGTTTCTAGTTTCTCCATTGTTGTTTTCCTTTCCCTTGACAGCAGCCTTAGGTGGTGCTAATAGATTTCAGCAGCAGAGGAAATACAGTACCAATAAGATTCAGGTACCGAATCCCTCACTGGCCACTGAGCTTAGTGGGATAAAATTGTCCTTCATGTAATTTTAACAGTGTCCATGGAGTAATTCTAGCCATTGGCCTGTTCTGTCTCTCTCTGCAGCTCCTTCTACCTCCATCATAACATGAGGTGGAGGAGATAGGATCCCTACAGCAGCTGCTATTGTTTGATCAGCAGCACAATCTTTGTTGGAATTTCATTTCCCTTGCAGCCTCGCTTCTAGAATTCATTTGTCATCCATACTTTGTAGCACTTATATTTGCCTGTAATTACATACCAGTCTGGCAATACTTTATTGTTAACATAAAGCAGTGGTGTTTAAATCCCCAATCTTATGCTGAAGTATTTGCAAAACTCTGTAATTGCTAAAATAATAAAGCTGCCATTATTGTATGGGAAGTTTACAGCCTGTTACTGAAATACTTGTATCAGCTTAACTATACCTGTATGCATTCCTCATGTTCTCATGGCTTAAGAGAGACTTCCCAGTTTCTGTTGCTTTCACAGAATGGCTGAGGTGCGAAGAGACCTTGTGGATCCCTTTGAGCTCAGGATGTTCTATTATTCTGTGACTATGACTTCTGGTAGCCCAGGGCTGCACTCATGTGTTATCTCAGAGCATGCAGGAGACTCCACAATCTCAGGACAAGCAGTTCCAGGATTCAGTCAAAACTTCACTTTTTTCTGGGTTATGGTCTGCTCTCATGTACCATTTGTAAGAAGTCTATAGAAGATAGCTAGGAAAAACAAGTTCGGTTTGGTTAAACTCGGTGTTATGGGTAGAGAATCATTCCAAACATTTATGGACCTGCAAACCAGAAAAGATAAAGTATTTTGGTTTCATTTTGTGTTGGCTTTCTGCAGGCAGAAAAACAGCAATGCCCCTTTCTTGTTGTTCATTACTTACTGTGCTGTTGTTTAGCCTTTACACAATCCCCAGCTATGTCAGTTTGCTCCCAAACTAGCTGGGCAAAGCAGACCTCAGCACTGGACACCAGGGTTAGAGTAACTGGTGCAGGTGCATTGTAATTATTTTTTTTTTTCCATACAGAAAGCTCAAAACATCCACACCGAGTATAAACATGTCTCCAGCAGCTTGGGAACTTGTGCTGTAATGAATGGCACGGTCTCTCAGCTTTGTTTTCATACACATGCATAGAACGTCTTCACGTGGGGGATGGCAAGGAGACTCTGAGTTCTTCCAACAGCAGCCACTGGACGTTACCATGGGTGCCCCATCGGTGGCTCAGCACCCCACACAGCAGTAGCATCACACTCTCAAGACCTTCACACAACAACGCACGTTCGGACTGCGCTGGTATTGAGCCAATAGGTGCCGTTCTGCGGTGCCGCCTGCCTGCGACCCGCCTGCGACCCACCTGCTCTCCTCTCCCCCACTCCTCAAAGTATTGCCCCGGCCTACGTGCGTGCTCCGCGTACCCCCACAGAGCAGGAACAGCCCCGCTTCGGCACGGGCCCCGCACCGCAAAGAGTTCGGTGCATCGAATCCCGAGGGGCAGCGCCTCCCCGCCCGGCGCGGCCCCGAACCCGAGGCGGCAGGGCCGCACCCGTTGTGCCCTCGGTGACAGCGCGGCCCCCTCCCGCCCACCCCTCAGCCCGGCTCGCGTCGCTCCGCGCTGGATTGCTCGCGTCTGCCCGGCGCTGGGGCTGCCCGGCTGGCGGCGCGGCCAGGCGAGCTCAGCCGAGCGCAGAGGCGGATTTTGAGGAACAATAACAGAGCGGGGAGTGCGGGACCGGCGCGGCCGCCCCGCCCGCTGCCGCACCATGTACGCCTTTGTGCGGTTCCTGGAGGACAACGTCTGCTACGCGCTGCCCGTCTCCTGCGTGCAGGACTTCAGCCCCACGTCCCAGCTCGACTTCGACAACCAGAAGGTCTACACGGTGTACCGCAACCCCGAAGAGGCGGCGGAGGAGGACGACGAGAGCACCGGCGAGTGGGGGGAGCGCCTGCTGCTCCACAAGGCCCAGATCCTGGCGCTGGCAGGTGGGCGCGGGCAGGGCCGGCTGAGGGAGGGGGCGGGCGGCGGACGGAGCCCTGGGGAGGGGGGGGTGGGCGAGGGAAGACGGGGGGGGGGTTCCCCAAGGGCCCCCCGGGCTGGGCCCGGGGGCCGGGGGGGGGGGGGGGGGGGGTGGGTAGACACCCCCCCCCCCCGCGGAGAGAAAAAAAAAAAAAAAAAAAAGGGAAGGTTTCCCTGCCTAGCGTATTTATAGTGCATGGAGTCATTTCTGTACCTTCGCAGCTCGTGTTGCCACATTGGAGCTGTGTTGCTGGTTTCTGTCTGCTCTGTTAGTTTAAGCGACTTCTCAAATTGGGAGGCAGCAGCGGGGGAAGCAGAGCTTTGTGTGGGGCTTGGTGGTGCTCAGTGTGGCTCCACGTTTCTCGTACACACGGCTCCCTACCTACAAGCACTGCTTCAACTGCACATTTAAAACGCAAACCCGTACTTTGGCCATTGGTGCTGCTGTGTGGTCCCCAAGTCGTGTCCTGTTGGCAGCACGAAGACTTTCTGTAGTTTCTTTGCAACCGCAAAAAGCTCTGTCCTCCTCACAGCTGGCATGGGAAGAAAGTTTGAGGGTGTTTGAAGCGAGCTGCTGGCTGGTGTGGAGGTGTCCCATAGGATGGGACAAGCTGAGTGTCACTGTGTGGCCCACAGGATGCAGGGTTCCGATCCTGAGCTCCACATTTGGGGAGAAATACGGCCCGTGGCCATTTCCCCAAATATGGCCTGGGCTGCCGAATCTGCTCTCCTGCACTGCAAAGGCCCCGAACAGGGCAGCTTGATGCTACAGGCATGCAAAACTAGTGTTTTCCTAGTTTTTATTTTATTTTTGGAAACAACAATTTTGGAAACAACAAAGTAGGTCAGCTGGTGGTCCATCTAGTCCCTGAGTCAGAGAGTGACTTGTACCAGTGGCCTGTGTGCAGTAGTGGCCATAAGCAGATGCTTGGTTCAAATAAGAAACAGGAGAGCTTGTACATCATTTCCCTGTAGAGTTTTTCTGATCTGTGAATATCTGCAGGAGTATCCCCAGAGTTCAGAAATAACAGAGGCTGACAGAGGAGTGGATTCTTCTGCAAAGTTTTTGTCATCCCGTGCCAACATGTAGTGTTTTGTGTGACTTGTCTGTAGCACAGGAGAATTGATACATGAATTATTTGCATGTTGCCTGCTGTGTACATGGAAGACAGCAGTGTCACTGCTTGGGGTTTGCTTGGCCTCTTCTCAAAAGTTACCCACATGGAGTTCGCCTTTTTGTTTCTTACTGGGGAAGTGCCCTTTCTCAAGCGTTTCAGAGTTCTCAGTCATGCTGTTTTGCTCATGTGGTGAGCCTGCAAGGTTGCCACTAAGTTTTCCAGCAGAAAGTGCTCTTACTTTAGTCAACTCACTCATCCCAGACAGAGTTTGTTCCTAAGAGAAGTCTACTAGAGAGTTTTCTTCATCACTCTAGAACCAGAACAAGGCAGTATATATTTTTTCTCCAGAGGGCAAAACTTGTTATCTGTTTTAGAGATCTGCATTAATTACTCCTCAGAGATCTTAGTTCTTACAGGAACTTTTCCTACCAAGCCAGGAACACAAAGAAACATAAAGCTATTTTTATCACGTGTGCTCCATCTCAATACATATGATGTGTATGTGTGAGTTACATGTTTCAACATTTTTCATATGAGTGTTTATTCCGGTTCTTCTTTCCTTCCTCTACCATATAAAAATTCCATAACTGAATTAAACATGCTGTAGCCAAAGGATTAGTTACTTTCAGAGTTTTCACTTTCTCACCAAGTTTTTAATGTTGATGTTTATTTTATAGTGGTTAAAACACTGGGGATAAAGGTTGATCTTACATGAAGATACTTTTGGTTTCTAGTGACCAATTAAGTTTTTGTGGCAAACAGATTAAGACAACTTATAGCAAGCGTTATGAATCTGATGTTATGCAACCTGCTTTTGTAATGTAAAAGATGAGTTTAAAAGTCAGTAGTGTGTCACATACTTGCATGGAACTTTTAATCCTGAAGCATTACAATGTATGCTAGCAGTAAAGTAAATAAAATGGGTAAAATAGCTTTTATCTTTAAAATGTATAAACTGAGATGATTTGGAATTTCTGGAGGGGAGCCCATGTCTGCACAAATTAGTGCATCAGTGACTTTAAGGATTTACTGCTTTGTTTTGGGGATTCCCCATTAGGAACAGTTTTTAGGATCACTGTGGTAGTACACATTAAATTTAAACAAAAAAAAAGTGGGAGGGGGAATTTCCTATTATTTTCAGTTAGTTTCAACATGCTCTGTTATTTTCTTGGTAGAGTTTCAACAGGTTGCACAGTGATGTTCCAAAGCTGTTCAAGTAAGCAAAATGATACCTGCTTATATATATTTTCATGATCTAACACTGTTGTTGCAGTGGGAGTTAGAGTACGAAAAAACCTCTTAGATTTCCTCTCTAGCAACATCGAAAAGGAAGGAGTAGAGAAAGAATACTGATACAAGATCTAGTTGAAACAACTCTTCTACTGTCTTAAAATATGTTCATGCCCACAGTACAAAATTTATTGGAGCATTTGTGTTGTAAATCATTCGTGAAACAATTGTCCTGATTTGAAGGACTCGAGGAGCATTTCTTTGATCCCCGTGTTGAGGTTGGATATTTGGAAATCTGTACATCAGTGAGAAATGGATGCTGCGAGGCAGGGAGAGCTGAAAAGGGAAGAGTGTTGGACGTGCTCAGAACAGCACATAGTTGTGATAGACTTGATATGACGAGGAGATAAATACTGTCTTCTGACAACAGCAGTACATAGTGGTATTAGAGCACAGGGATTGTTCTGAGCAGCAGTACATGTCTGTTGTTCCTCTGTGTGTGTGGTTGGGGAACCTTAAACTATTTCAAAAGTTAGCCAAAGACTAAGGCTGAAATAAAGCAGGTTAACCCCTGACTAGGGCAGTTGTAGACAGCTGAGCCATAGAAAGCATGTTAAAATGAGTGTTCTGTTCCATAACAAGATCAGCATTTGGTTAACAGGCAACTGATGTTACGTAGTTATAAAGGAATCACTTTATTTACCTCTTGAATGGAAAATACAGCTCAGTGGACTGAAGCTGCACTGTAAGGCAGTTTCTTGAGGTGGCATGTTAACTGCTCTTTCTCGCTGAGGATAAAATAAATTGACAGCTTTTCAGAAGGAGCTTGAGCCTTCCTTCTGATCATTCACACCCTTCATTTTTATTTCTTTCGTGTCCTTTCATCTAAACACAAAAGCTGTTTTTCTCGTCCCTCTTGTTGAAACAGGTGTGCCACTTGCAACTTTTTTTGCTCCTGTCCGATGTAATCATTGTCAGTTTTGTCCATAAGCATGTGTACACCTTACTGTGATCCTTATGTGACCCTGCTGGAGCCACTTCTAATGCTCATCACATTGCAAAGCAAGGTGGAACAAATCAATGTACAAGAACTTTTAAAAAGTTCACTACTGCAGGCTGCATCTGTTGACAAGTTAATAGTGACTGTCTTCTAATTGGAGGCATTCTTTCCTGACTGCAGTAAATAATTGCTCTCTCTAGCTCTACTGCCCTTAGCACTTCCCACCTGCACCATAACAGCAAACACGTCTCAATCAGATCCTGACTGCAGTTCCCTGCCTGCCACAGCAGGCACATTAATACCTGTGTGCATCCATATTCTTCCTTGTCCCTTCATAAAATGTGATGCTCCACTTCTTGTATTATTATTTTTTTTTCTTTTTAAAGTCTTTAAAAGTCTGAACAGCTCATGATGAGGTAATTTGCTGCGTTTCAGAAGGATGTGAAGTCTCCATTCCTGGAACAGTTTTCAAGTAAATGATTTTGTTGCTGAGTTTTGAGTAAGTTTGAGGGTGGATTCATCCTAAGAAGTTGAAGCTCCCTGATTTGAACAATTAAAGGAGGAGAGACATTGTCGAGTGATGGAGTAGGTGAAAATTTACAAGTTGGGATTTTAGGTTATACCAAGATTGCGCAGCATGTAGGTCAGCAGGTGATGATGGGTAAAGTCATTCTGAATCCTTTCACTGTTCAGACAGCCTGGGGAGCTGGATTAGGTAGAGCAGAGTGTGGCAATGCCGTGGCCTGTGCCATGCTCAGACACAGTGTTGCCCCAAGTAAGGTAGTGCCATGAGGGAGTTGTAGGAAGCCTTCCAGCAATCGCTTGTCACAGCCTTTGGTCTGTTTTCCTGGGATAGCTCAGGAGGACCTGTGGGCTGCACTTTGCATGGCTGCCTTTGAGCAGCCAGCCCACTTTGTCCTACCTGAGCACTGGGATTTGCCTTGGGGTGACCTGATCACTGAGCAGAGCTGAGCCCAGCAGTGCTGAAGCGAGCTTGTTCAAAACATGGTCCATTTCCTGTTCATTTTTAACTATTTCAAGATGAAGGATGGATTTATTTTTCTTTTTCCCCTTTCCTCTATATTGTACTGTAGGAGTGTGTCTGAGATTTAAAGAGCTTGTACAAGGATGCCATTTTTCTTTATCGTATCTGTTTGTTCAGCTTTGAGGTAGGGCTCATCATTGCAAAGCTGAACTGGCAGCATCAAAAAGGTATTTAGAACTTTTAAAACCATATCCGGTAACTGTTATGATAGTGGTGATGGGTACGTATCATCAGCGACAGTGCTAATGAAAAGGAATTTAAAAGCAATTTTACTGCAAGATTTTACCCTCTAGTTATCTCTTTCTATGTATCTTAGTGTGGAAAGAAGTATCTTTTGGTCTCAGCTGACCTGCTTATTCCTCAGTCACTTCTGCTTTTTGCTTCAGAAGAGTCGGAAGTCATTTACTACTTTGTTTTTATGACGCACGCCCTTACGTGTCACCTACAGCATTGTGATTTCTCTTGGTCTTAATACACATATTGTAGCATATAACACAAGTTATGCTTGTAAATGTTGCAGAAGCTCAGCTATGGTACAATAAAAATATGATTTTCAGGATTTTAATAAAATTG